ATGTTGTTCATTTTTTCTTGTGAGAGAATCTTTATGTTCAAGAAGTTCTCGTATAAGATCCCTATAATCATCTAAACATTTCTTCAATATCCTATTCTTAGCTCTAGTGGCTTTTAATTCAGCATCAATCTCATGTTGATGGATCTGATATGATGATTCCATGTTGGTCATAACACTATTCAACATTTGATTTTTGACTTGACATTTTTCGAATTCAATGACAGAGGTATTGCGTCTTTCTTCTGCAACTCTTAAATCATGAGAAAACTTCTTGGCTCGACCTTCATGTATTTACAGTTCTTTTTCAGTTTGGTGACCCCTGTTACCCACTCTTCTGGGGTGTTTCCTATGCCAGTATTTTGAAAGGCTTGACTGACCTTCTGGAAATCTTCATGCATGGTTTCCATTTTGGTGCTCAATTTATCGTTTTCAATCTTTAAATGACGTATTTGAGCCTCAGACCTCAGCAAATCTTCTTCCTTCTGGACGACCTTATTGATACTCTTACCTTTGAAAACTTTTGGTATTAATCTAACAGGACATTCAGTTACCAAACTAAGTCGATCATTTATCATAAACTGTAAGATTCCATGATCCAAAAGACTTTGGACTTGACGTTTGAAGGCAAGACAATTCTCAATGGTATGACATTGAGCTCCAGCATGATATTCACAATAAACGTTGATGTCATACCAATTCGGATATGGAGGTTGGAACGGTTTTATATAGTATGAAAACACTTATCGCGCTTCAAGTAGCTTCTCATATAACTCTTTATATGATATAGGGATAACATCAAAATGAGAACTGTCATTTGTCTTAGATTGAATCTGAATTTTAGACGTCGGGAGCAGACTAAACTTTGACGATTTTAGATTACATGATTTCTTCTCATTTCTGGGAGCTTTTAGAGTTGTCACCATTTCCTGGGTATCTTCAGGCAACTTGTGAATACGAATAATGATTGTCTGTAATTTCTCAAATTGATTAGGATCATAAGTCCCTTGTATATATGAGATTGTAGGATTATATTCATTGAACTCTCTCTCTCTCTCTCTCTTTTTGTGCAGAAATCTCTTTTCCTTTGGCCAAAACAGATATTCTAACCATATTCTTGGACATATGCTCTCTTATTTCTCGTAACTTCTTTTGTTCTTCAATGGGTATACGATCTTTGGGTGCATAGTCCTTCTCTATCCTTAGAATTTCTTCAGGATGCATTTCCCTAGCTGCGTCATAGTTTGTTTGATCATAAAGTTTTTTGTCCATTTATGAAAACTTTCCAATTTGATGTCCACTCTCAAATTAACACCTTCTGGTTATGACATTATCATGAATGCAAACAAAAGAAATCAATATAAACAAGTTAAAGCAAAATAAAATGTATAAAAAATAAAAAAATAAAATGAGAAAAATAAAATGGTTAGTACCAATTAATGGAAATGAGAGATCCTATCTATCATTGTATAAATCCTAACCTCATGTTTTCTAGTTCCATGCTTTGTTTGGAAAAATTAACCTAACCGCGTGATTTCTATTTCACAGGCATTTATTTAGAAAAGAATGAAATCAAATAAATTAAAAGCTATAGCTTATTTCTCCTTTGTGTACATCTACGGACAGGGTTTCAGTATTGTCTTAGATCAGGAGAATTTCTAGGGTTTATTATATGCATGGTTTTAGTTCTAGGAGTAAAGGTACTGGAACTGTCCTTGTTGATGCCCCCTTAGGCTGCCAAATCCTCAATCCTAGTCCATTACAGAATTAAGCGGATCGAGTTCAATTCGAGGGGACACATTTCCCTATGCCTGACACGAAGAATAAATTCTCACAAAGATATATGATATATGAACCCCAAAAGTTACTTGCTAGGTATGACACAGAGAATAAATTCTCACGAATGCATCGCTTTCACTCTCACTTAAAAGGGAAAAGAGCTCGGGTATAGAGCTTATGTTTATGCAATGCAAGTGTTGTATGTGAGGAGAAATTTTCACAGAAAAATTAATATCTAAAAAGCAATAACATACAATAGTATAAAATAAATTGAAAGAAATAAAAAAGAATCATAAATTAAATAAATCTAAATTCTCAATTTCTAATTATAGAGACAATATATAATCAACTTAGGTTTGACCAGGTCCCCAATGGAGTCGCCAAGATGTCGTAACCGTTTTTCGCCCAAGCACAAAATTTTACTTGGCGGGAAAAATAAGGTGAATAAATAAATGGTTTTTATTTAAAGAAATGTTTTGGGAGTCACCATCGGCCTTTTGGCTTAAGTAGGTCGAATACCTAAAAATCATCTTTTAAAAGAGTTTTTAAGAAAACATCAGTTAAAAGATAAACTGGTATGCGTTTAACTAAAAATTCGTTCTTTTTAATAATAAAAAGGGATTCGTGGTCGGTTACGTTTAAGGAATGATTAGCACCCCCACAACACCCAAAATTGGTCCCTGTCGATTATAAACTATTTCTAATAATAGAATTTAAGAATTCGATTATAAATTTAATTTATGATCTTTTCATATTCAATCGGATAATTATAAAAAAGGAAAATATTAAAATAATTTTTATGAATTATAAATAAAGTATTTATTTATTTAAAAATATTAGAAAATGGCATATATTTGCTTTAAGACATCCCCTTTCTTTAATATTAATAAACAAATACATATTAATAAGAATATAATATTTTTTCTTAAAAATAATAAAACGAAGTATATATATATATATATATATATATATATATATATATATATATATATATATATATATATATATACAGGATATTTATTTATTTTTAAAATACTAGAATAGGACATCTAGTTATTTTAAGACCGCCCTTTCTTAATATTTAAAAATAAATAAATATTATTATTTAATTAATTTATGAAATTAATTAAATAATACTTATTAATCTTTCATATATATATATATATACATATATTAATATGACTAAAATTAAATAAATATAAAATAAAGAAAAATATAATAATTTGAATAAAACTAAAATAACTATATATATATATATATATATATATATATATATATATTTGTTTTTATAAATAAAATATTTATTTATTTAAAAATATCAGAATATAGCTTCTAGTTAATTTAAGATAACCATATCTTAATATTTTAAAATAAATAAATATTATTAATTAACTAAATATATTTTTATATGCTAAAATAAATAATATTTAAAGTATTAAATTAAACATATTGAAAATAAAGTACAAATAAATAATAAAAAAATAAAATAAATTTCACTAAAATGACCAAAATAAAATGAATTAAAAGCTTCTAGTATTAAAATATAAATTATCTAAATTAATAGACATAATTCAAATTATTATAAAAATATAATTACTAATAGTGTCATTAACCCTTAATTATTAATCGATGATTAAAAAAATATTTATTAAAATTAAAAGGACTAATTGTGATATTTACCCTAAAATATTAAATATACTGGCAAGGACTAAATTATAAATCAAATAAAATTGGAAGACCGAATTAAAATGCTCAATAATTGATTTTAGTGGCTATAATGAAAAGTTACAAATTCGGAGGACTGTGGGTATAATTAACCCAATTTTCAAAATTACAGATACACCTCTCCCCAAAACGACGCCGTTCGAGGAGAGGTATATAAACCCATAATCGACCCTTTTAGGGCCATTTTTACCCATTTTATGGTTTTGCTTCTCTCTCTAAAGAGAGAGATGCTCTCGTTTTCTCTCGTTGGAGGAAAAAACCGGCCATCGTTGGCCACCGTTCCCGATGTCGATCGCCACCGTCGGTGGCTGAAAAATTTCAAAATCCCCCAAAATAAATATTCCTAAAGACGATTCCGATGTTCTTTTTCCCTAGAAAAGCCCTGAAATTACCTAGATCTATAGAAATACCCTCGGTATTTCAGTTGCTTTTGGCGATGCGTGGAGGCCCGTTGTATCTCCGGTGACGACGTAGTCTTCTCGGTAAGCTTTTTTTTCTTTCTCTTTTGCTGGTTGTTGGTTGTTTTATGTCTCCATTGTGTCTGGCCATCGGTATCTTGTTGTCTCCGTTCTTGTGTGCCGTCGATGGTCTTCTTTTTTTCTTTGCAGGTTCAGTGGTGGCTTTTATAGCCACCACAGTGTTCTACTCGGACCAGTCCAAAGGGGGAAACTTCGGTGAGTCACCAAAGTTATGCTGGTGACTCACCATAGGGAAGCGATGTGGGCGACTGGCCTAGCGTTGGGGAGCTTCTAGAGGCTTCTGCAATGGTGGTGTCGTGGTAGCAGCATCGGCAGTGAGGTGGCGTGGCAGAGGCGACTGGAAGCTTGAGGTGGTGGCGTTTGGTTGAGATAGGGTTTAGAAACCCTAATTGCATTAGGGTTTGGGTCCTGTTGGGCCATCTGGGTTGGGCCTAGAATTGTAATCGGGCATCGTGTTTATTGTAAAACGGGTTTCGGGTTTATTTGTAATTATTTATAATAAAATAATAATAATAATAATAATAATTATAATAATAATTAAAATAAAAATGAAAAAATTAGTGTCTACAATTTGGTTCAGAGAAAAAAATAAATTATAAAAAAGTTTCTAAGAAGTGGTGAAAGAATGTGGTTTAAAAACTTGCAAGTTTTTGGTATTGAATGAAAGAACTGACTGATGAGGGGATGATAAAGTTATATCTTGCAAAAGCCAACTTTTAAAATTAAAAAAGCACAATTTTCTCTGCATTTTGATTTGGATTGTCAAGCCATGTATTTTAACCGCAGAAGTTAAAATATTGAATGAAACAACTGATTGAAGTTGGGGCCCGTGTGTCAGTGGCTTCTCCCATTAGTTAAGTTAGCTTGTGTTGATTTAATTGTTGAATCGATTATGTACTTCATTTCTTGTAATGATTGATTTCGATGTATGTTGATTATAATTGTGGCTATAATTACTAGTTTTGCATCAGATTTAATGCTTTAATGTTCTAGGTGTGGTCCTTGCAAAATTATAGCTCCCAAGTATCAAGAATTATTTGAGAAGTACCTTGACGCTGTCTTTCTAAAGCTCGATTGCAATCAAGAATACAAGGTAATTCCTACGATTATTTCCAAATCCAGTAGTTAGCTCAACTATGTGAGCATTTGGTGATTTACATGTGGGTTTTGGTGAATCACCTAATCTGTATATTACGATTGTATATAATGCTTGAAAAGCAAGTCTAGGAAAAATTATGAAACTGTGCGATGATGAGAGATTTGTGCAATGATTTTGACAGCCATTGGCGAAGGAGCTCCACATAAGGGTGGTTTCAACGTTCAAGATACTGAAGCACAAGAAGATAGTAAAGGAGGTGACCGGAGCAAAATTCGATGACTTAGTTGCTGCTATCGAGACGGTTTGATCCAGCTAAGTTCATTTCAGTACCTGCAAAATATTAATCCAATCAAATCAAAAACAACGATGACTTCATGCATGCGTTGAACTAATTGTTCTTCTTGTATTTATATATATATGTGTGTGTGTGTGGATACATTCGTAGTTCTTCAAATGGAGAAAGGCCACCGGTTGCATGTAACATTAACCTGCTGTGCTGCTTGTGATATGTATACACTCTGTTTCAGCTTATTGGGAGAGAAGGTGTGATTGTGAACCAAGGAAAACATCAGCTATTTTATTCCTGGTAGGTCCAAATAGATTTTGATTTGATGAATCAGCCTTTTACATTCATTTTGTCTGCAATTGCCATACAAATGCCAAAATTGAAATACTGAATGAATAGATTGTGGGAACTTATCTCTTGTAGCCCCAAATCTTTTACACTTGGGAGAAGATAGTTTCCCAGTTACAGCTTTGTTTTCACTCAACTTTCTAACGTATTTTTTTTTTCATTGATGTGCTCAAATATGAACCTTCCTCACTTATTGCAGGAACCATGTACCACGATACAAGTACATAGTATTGCAACAGACCTTCCAAAACATACAAAGGATACCAAAATCAAGATTATAACTGCTGGCATGTAATGAGAAGGTCTTCTCAGATTCTGCAACGCACCATTCCATGAAATGCTCTTCTCTTTCTTGATCTTTCGATCCGATTCCGATGGTGTTCGAAGCTTATCCCTTCGAGGCTGATGATCACTTACAGTTCCTGGTTTGGTTTTCTCGTCCTTCTTGTCCTTGGGCTTTACCACGAGACGAACGCAATCGTCCGAGTTCTTGTAAACGAATCGAACTACACATCTGTTTCCCATTTGTGAGTAAATCCGTTGCCTCTTCTCTTCGAGTTCAGCTAGAAGTGCAGAGAAGTGTCGAATACGGGTTCTCGTTATCCCTTTTTCTCCTTGATTTTTTAGGTGTCGAAACCGGCCTGATCCAGAATTCATCACCTCCTTCTTGATGATGGAAAGCTCCACAAACTAAGGAGTAAAACATCAGAAAAAAACTCGGTCTGATTTAAACAGGGAAGGACTTATAAAGGAGTCCAACCAATTAACCTAACAAGTCAACTGCTTCCATTTGACGTATAGGTGCTGTTCGACTTGTACAAAGCACATGGCACGGTGCCTCAAATTTATTTATATCCTCTAGAATATGAAGAAAAAAAAGCCATATATTGCTCTCTCTTCATATTTAAACTTGTAGCAAAAAAGTTGCCATAAATAAATAAATAAGTAAATTGCGGTCATTTGCAGTTATTTAAAGAGAAAATAACTTCAGTGACAAAAAATGCCTTATAATATACGATTTTAATCAATTTTTTTTGGATTTGTCAAAATGACCAACTAAATCGTAATGTGATCGATAATTCGCAACGCGATCTCCGGTATCGCAAATCAGTTTCCAGATTCGCAACGCGATTCTGACTATCGCATTGCGATTTCCCAAATTCGCGTTGCGATTTTCCTAAATCGCAACGCGATTACTTAAATCGCAATGCGAATTAGGAAAATCGCAATGCGAATCTGACTATCGCAATGCGATTTACATAGCGCCATTCGTATTAACGCGTGTTTTTTTTCAAATTCCAAACACGAATATATTAATATATCGGAAACTGAACCGTCCACAGTATATCCCGTAATCGCAACTCATAACCTAAAACCTAAAATCACAACTCCATCTCTCACTCTCTACGGCGAAATCCGTCCCCATCTCCGAAAATTTCCATCCCCATCGCCGGCGAAATCCCTCACAACCATTCACGGTCAGAAATCCCTCACAATCATTCAGAAATGGAAAATCAACCTCCGAGGATTAGTTTTTTTAATTATTTTTATTTTGAAATTTTTGCATTATTTTATGTTTTTCATATTGAAATTGATGATAAGTTTACTGGTAATTTCAATAATAGATTAACCATTTCACTTAGATTTCTTATTAAATTCATTCGATTGCTGCCAATACTGCTAAACTGTTTAGTCTTTAACCCTGTGAAGTTAGTATTTGTCTTTGTTTTGTCTTTTGGTTGAAGTAATGCAGAAGAAGAATAGTTTCTAAACTTAAAATCGCAACACGAAAATGACTATCACAACGAGAGAAATGAAAATCGCAACGAGAGAATCGCAACGCGAAACCAAAATCGCATTGCGATTTTCATTTCGTTTCGCGTTGCGATTTTCATTTCGCGTTGCGATTCTCTCGTTGCGATAGTCATTTCCGCGTTGCGATTTTCATTCTCTCGTTGCGAGTTTCATTTCAACCAAAAGACAAAACAGTGTTGCAAATTTTAGTTTCAAGAATAAACTAGTACTCTTTATGTTTATTGTTTTTGGTATATCTTCACAGTGTAGTTTTTGGTATATCTAACTTGGTATGTTTATTGTTTTTGTAGAAATTTTTTTCGGCTTCATTGACATTAAGGAATAAAGTTAGCCTAGACACTACAATTGCTTCAAAGCTTTTGTTTGAGGAAACCTGCTTCGGGCCATGGCTGAGAGTACAACATCCGGGTGGAGATGCTAATTTGACCCATTTGTGGCTTCAGACCATGACTAGCGATCTACCCGACAGTATACAACGTGGTGAGGAAGAGATATAGTTTCATTTTCCACCGGCGTATACTTATTTTGGGCGGAAGGAGTTCTGCTTAATCACTGGTCTACGATTCGGACACGATGATGTAGGCCGGTACACTCGTCATATCACCCGCCCATCATGGTTATCCAGGATTTTTCCCGATGAGTCAATAGAGAAGCCGAACTTACACGTCGACGACCTGAAGAAATTGTTTAATAAGAAAGATGGTTTTACTCGGATGAATGACGTCGATGTTGTCCGAGTATGCCTTCTAGTACTTTTGTATGCCGGCTTTTTAGGCAGAGAGGCCAGGCAACCTATTCCTCAGGAGCTAATATTATTGGTAGAGGACCTAAATGCATGTAATCTGTTTCCGTGGGGTTCGTATATATGGAAAGCTACCTGGACTAAGTTGTCGTCTGCCTTTGATGACCGCAAAAGTTTGCGTGGCGATGGGTCGAAATACACTTTTTCAGACTTTGTTTGGGCCTTTAAGGTAAGAATTTCTATATAATGTTTTCAAAATTATAATTAATTATTTAACAATTACTAATGTTTGTTATTATATTGTTTGTAGATTTGGATATTCGAGGCTTTCTCCAGCATGCGGACATATGCATTAAAAACTTCAAATGATATTCCTAGGGCTATTTCCTAGAAGAGGAAACGTCTGTTGGATTGGGAAGACTTAATACCATATGCGACAATAAATAATGTAAGTTAACACAAATATTATCATATATAAACAAGTTATTAATAGTAGAAGTTTAACTTTGTTTGAGTTTTTATATTTTTAGGAGGCCAACACTCCATTACAGAGACTGACACCCACGAAGGCTGAGCTTGCCACTGATTGGTGGCAAGCTAGTCAGCGTTTTCTTGATGGCACGAAAGATGAGCAGCATCCACTTCCTCCACTTCGAGAGCCATCACCTCACCCAGAGCCATCACCTGATCGACCCGACTATACACCTCTACAACGAGAGCCATCACCTATCCCGTCACATCATCGAGCCTCTTCTCCACCATCACCTCATGATAGGCGACCGGCAAAGATGCCACGACTTCTATCTCCTGTTCTCCACCTCCACCCTCCACGAGAGAGTCAAGGGAGTTACGTGATGAGGTCAATGCCTTGCGTGAGGAGATCGGTACTCTACGCGATAACGATGGTGCATGGCGTGTGGAGGTGTCTACTTTACGTGGTGATGTTGCCGCTCTACGTGAGATGGTAGTATCGTTGCAGAATGAGGTTCATACTCTACGCAACGAGGTAAGTTTAAGATTTTCCATATTTAACTTGATGATAAATTTACTCGTAATTTCACTTAGATTAACCATTTCACTTAGATTGCTTAGTAAATTTATTCGGTTGCTGTTAATACTGCTAAACTGTTTATTCTTTAACACTGTGAAGTTAGTATTTGTCTTTTATTTTGTCTTTTGGTTGAAGTAAATTTATTCGGTTGCTGTCAATTCTGCTAAACTGTGTATTCTTTAACACTGTGAAGTTAGTATTTGTCTTTGTTTTGTCTTTTGGTTGAAAGTAAATTTGTTCGGTTGTTGCCAATTCTGCTAAACTGTGTATTCTTTAATACTCTGAAGTTAGTATTTGTCTTTGTTTTGTCTTTTGGTTGAAGTAATGCAATCCATTCAAGTTTCAATTTGTAGAAGAAGAAGAAATAGTTTACTTTCGCAACACGAAACTTAAAATCGCAACGTGAAAAATGACTATCGCAACGCGAAACCAAAAATCGCAACGCGAAACTATAATCGCGTTGCGATTTTCATTTCGCATTGCGATTCTCTCGTTGCGATTCATTTCGCGTTGCGATAGTCATTTTTCACGTTGTGATTTTAAGTTCCAGAAACTATTCTTCTTCTGCAAATTGAAACTTGAATGAATTGCATTACTTCAACCAATAGACAAAGACAAATACTAAGTTGACAGTGTTGCAAGTTTGAAACATATTTGTCTTTGTTATCTGATGCATTTTGTGAACTATGATAGAATAATGACTTGGGTGAATTCAATGCAAGTTTGAAACATATTTGTCTTTGTTTTCACTGTTTAAATATCATGTCTGTTTATTTACTGATTTTTGTATTTAATTATTTAGCGGCCCGATAAGGTGGATGCTTTACGTCGGGTTTTTCTTGCACGACGGAGTTCACGCATCAGACGGCGTGCACGTGCTATTAAGTCTCCGTACACCCCAATAGTACGAAGACACCGCAAGAAGAAGCCCGACTCGCCTTTCATCCCTAAAGAGTCCACTCCTATCGTTGAAGAGGCACCTATCATTCCTCGAGAGTCCCCTCCAACCGTTTCAAGAGGCCACTATCATCGTTGAAGAGGTTCCTCCCACCATTCAAGAGCCCGATTCACATGGCGTCATATGTAAGATTCTTGAGAAACCCTCTGACGTGCCAGACATGATGGATGAGAGTTGGCTCTCGTATGAGTTACCGGCCAGTACCATTCCGGTATCTGAAGTGGAGAGGAGACAACTACCGGACACAATTCTGGATAACACCCTTTGGGCTAAGACCGTAGTTGATTTTTATCTACATGAGCGGAGCCAGGGGTGTTTCACTGACATATGTAAGCTCAACGATGATATCTATTTGTTGCTTGATCGGTCTTGGCGGGGCGTATTATTAGGGGTCGAAGACAATGGCTATTTCGATGGAGGAGTAAGTCTTATATTTTTCTTATATTTCAATTTGATTTTTTTTTTAAATTTATGTAAGTCACTAATATATGTATTTTTTTTGTAAAATATCATATCGATGCGTGGGTGTCACGTCTTCTAATAATTAGGAAACTTAAGGAAAATAAAAGAAATACACGATATACAATTATGCCGACGTCTTTTAACGCCGTTCACTTGAAGAATCAACAAGATGAATCATTTACGTTGGGCAATGGACAAGCTAAACTTTATCATGCATGGTGGGAGGTCGATAAGGTTAGTATTTATTTTAGATTGAGTTTAAAGGTATTCATAAATAAGTGCGCAAATGAATGAATTATTACTTATGATTACAGGTGTTTATCCTTGTTTTGGAACATAAACATTGGCTTCTCGTCGAGCTTCAGCTCCCATCCCTTAAGGCAATAGTATATGACAGCATGATAAATTACATATCATTGGCTGATTTAAGAGATATTATTAAGGGATGGAGCTCTCATTTGGCTAAATTCTTGGATGCGATAAATTATTGGACTCATTCTGGAAACAAGAAGCCAAAGAAGCTCAATATTACAGTTAGCAGAGACGAGACAGCACCACAACAAACGAAAGGACCCAGAGGGGATTGTGGTCCTCTCGAATGCTTGGCGTTGGAGCGTTTGATCACAGGAAGTATAAAGTATCTACCTCCCACCGATAGATATAGAGCTGCAGTAGGCTTGTGGTTTCGGCATTATATGGCTAGATCGATATATACGAGACGCTGCCTACCTGCATCCGTATTATAAAAAAGTCCATAAACAATTGGTAAGTTTATAGGCTTTTGGTTTGAAAATGTTTGGTTAAGTACCTAGAATTCAATAATTTGTTGTTTGTAGGTTTTAGATGTGTAGAAAGTGTTGTTTGAGCAAATGTTTGGTTTTTGCAGGTTAATCTCAGAAGTGAGCTGCGTGAAAATGATGTATGGCTGCAAAATTTGATTCAATAGTAGATGAGGAAATAATAATTATTGCTTATTTTTTGATTGTTTAATTGATTTGTAAAAGATGCTTTGTAAAAGTTGATTTGTTTAATTGATGTGAACATAATTCTTATTTGTGCTTGTTTAATTGATTGAAATGTAATGGTTGATTTTGTTGATTTCAATCTGCATTATGTTGAAGGCAAAAATGACTATCGCAATGCGAAATGAAAATCGCAACGAGAGAATCGCAACGCGAAACTAAATTCGCGTTGCGATTTTCATTTCGCTTTGCGATTCCCTCGTTGCGATTTTCATTTTGCTTTGCGATTCCCTCGTTGCGATTTTCATTTCGCATTGCGATTCTCTCGTTGCGATTTTCATTTCGCATTGCGATAGTCATTTCCGCGTTGCGATAGACATTAAGATGATTGCGAACATCATTTCCGTGTTGCGATAGTCAAATGAATGCCTAATAAGTGATAACAACTGAACAGATCATAGCAATTTTCAAACTCAAGTTACTAATACATGCCTAACTGAAAATGTTAAAAGTCACACATAAATCCACATAATACAATGTTGCATTTAAAAATCACCTAAGTTAACAGTCCCAAAAGGTGAAGCCGGTTGTGATTGGGATTTTAAAGATGATTGCAATTTTGATTGCCTTTTGCTTGACACCATATGAGCTTTGGATTTTGATGAGGATCCATATTTTGGTAGAGGAAAATATGATTGTGATGGCACTGGTGATCCACATGTCAACCTTGTATGACCACTTTCCTTGCACCGACTACATGTCGATCTCTTCTTCTCTTCACCCTTAGACGGTATACGATAGTGACTTTTTAGTCGGCCAGGTAGCCTTCTATCCATGGCTGGTGGCAAAACTGTTTGTAAGTCATCTGGTATGTCCCACTCAGAAGGATGTGGAATAGGGTATACAATCTCGCCATAAGTCTGTCGATATACTTCTGTAGTGTAGCAATCCATAGCGTATGCGCTTGAATCATCTTGGTTAGATGAAGAAACTTTTATAACATGGCCACACGGATAACCATATGTTTGCCATTTCATACAACTACACGTCTTTGCATTTAGATCGACAAGCCCATTTAAGTTATTATCCAGTACTTCAAACAAAGTGTTTGAACATGGTTCAACTCTCCATGACGTTGACTTCACAACACGTTTCGTTATCTTTTTTTCTGTTCATGGTGTAACACAATGTTCCAATGTTCCTATAAATTTAAATAAATAATACTTAGTAAAATATATGATAAGTTACGAATTTAAAGAAATAATACCAGCATGGTTTCTTTTCTTGTAGTACCACTGTTGAATAGAGGCTCGAAAAAACTCCATTAACATAGTAATGGGTAATTTTCGGGAATGACGACTTAGAGCGTTAATTGATTCTGCACTATTAGACGTCATGAAACCATATCTTGCTCCAAGTTGATGTACTCTTGACCATCTTTCAAACCCGACATCTTCTAGTGTTGAGCACACTGAGGCAAAACACGTCTTAAACAATTTATATGCTTATTAAAATCCACTTCCCGATAAGCTTTTACAGCCTTTCAGTATGTCCATTTGATTTTTATACCAGCAGACCTTGATTTTAGATTTCTATACAAATGAACACCACAAAGTCCATGAAAAGCATCTGGGAAACACCTTCTAACAGCGTTGTCAATTGATTTTGCCCTATCAGATATGATTGTCAGATTGCTAATAGGACCTATGCAATCCCTAAGATGCCCCATAAACCATGTCCATGAATCAGAGGTTTGAGATTTGCCAACCCCGTAAGCTATTAGCAGTATCCCATTGTTAGCATCCATGGCTACTGCTAATAAGTTTACTCCAAGGTATCGACCTTTTAAATGTGCTCTGTCAACTATAATAACTGGGCGCATGCAATTAATAAACGAACGAATCTACAAAATCATATACACAAGAAATAATCATTTAAATGTGAAATGCATGTAACTAACAAAAATGAGTCATTTTTCAGCTTTAAATTGTGACAATAAGCCGGCAGTTGGGCAAACGATGCTTCTGGTGACCCCCTCAACAATTCTAAGATATAACATTTGGCTCTCCAAGCTTGAGAATATGAGATACTAATCTTGAACCGAGCATTCATGTCAGCCATAATTTCATGTCCTCGATATACCCTACCATTCAAAAACATTAACTCAGCCAGAAAACCACCCAACACCTTTTGGTTTTCCTGTCTATGGTGAGGAAAAACTTGGGTTCTTGAACATGTATGTTTATCAATAAAAGTCCTAACTTGAAACATTTCACAATCTTTTATCCTCTTTGCAATCATACGCTACATACAGTTTTTGTCAATCATACACCTTGTTTCGAAACGATCTTTGCTTGATTTGTTAACTTTTAGTTGATAGCCATCTTCCACACATTTTGTATACAAAGCTATCTTCAAATATTCCTTTGTATCAAAACAATCATCTTTCTTGATACGAATAATTTTTGTGTAACAATCAACTGTTATCTTTACCAACTCTTCTTTCGGTATCTGAAGTAATTCTGGCATATTCCAGTTATACTCTCGTGGCATTTTCTTCGGGGACTTTTCTTTGGGGATTTCTTTCTTCTTTTTCTTCTTCAGTCGTAACTTCCTCCTCATTATCATCAACAACATCTTTCGGCAACGGCTGTTTCATCATCAAAATTTGGGTATTGACCAATATCAAAATCATTACACACATGGTCTGTTTTTCTTCTGAAAAATCATCAAAATCCGTATGACCAAGATCAAAGTCCGGGTATTGACCAAGATCAAATTCGAATACTGACTAGTACTCACAATTTTTCTGTTGGCTCATCATCGTCTAACTGGTCAATACGAAAACCGGAATTTGGTGCTGAAAGTTGATTGGGATTTGGATTAGGGAAAGGTTGTGGGTTTTGATTGTGTTGGTATTGGAAATGTGGTGAAACAATATTTGCTTGGTGATGAAATTGTGGTGGAACCATTAAATTTTGAGCACCATAAACTGGGGTTGAAAAACTTAGTTGATTACTACCCGCTATTGACCCAACTTCACTACAGGTGTGGGTTTTGAGATTGTGTTGGTATTGGAAATGTGGTGAACAATATTTGCTTGGTGATGAAATTGTGGTGGAACCATTAAATTTTGAGCACCATAAACTGGGGTTGAAAAACTTAGTTGATTACTACCCGCTATTGACCCAACTTCACTACTTCTAGGTTCAACAACATACAATGTAACATCATCACTTGAAACACTAATTGTAAGCAATGAATCGTTCAACATCTTCATTGTCGGTTACAAATAAACTTTACCATTCTCTGATAAGATAGCCAAACTACTAGGGGCTCTAAATTCAATTTATTGCAACACGTAACAGAGTTCATAAGTTAACTTAATGACAGTTTTAGTTGAAGATTCATGGGTAAAGGCATATAAAACACCATGAACATTCTCCCATGACCCTCCGAACATAAATCTATCCAAACATGATCATAGATGATTTCATTATAAAATTTACTAAAAGAGTACGAAACTAAAACCTGTTGCCGGATGAGGAAGGATGTCGTTGGATATAGGAACGGATGTCGCCGGAGAGAGTGATAGATGGAGATGGAATGAGTTGCGATTTAGGGATTTAGGTTATGAGTTGCTGATGCTGCGTAGTTATATACCCAAAACATTTGTGTTGTGAAATTAAAACCTGTTGCGAATTCAGAAATCGAGTTACGAATTTGAAATTCAATATTGCGATAGTCATAATCTCGTTGCGATTTAGGAAAATCGCAACGCGAATTTGGGAAATCGCAATGCGATAGTCAGAATCGCGTTGCGATTCTGGAAACTGATTTGCGATACCGGAGATCGCGTTGCGAATTATCGATCGCATTGCGATTTAGTTGGTCATTTTGGCAAATCCAAAAAAAATGGTTAAAATCGTATATTATAAGGCATTTTTTGTCACTGAGGTTATTTTCTCTTATTTAAAAGGCATGTTCTAGAAGCAACTTAGTTGGAATATTGCTGTAAAAGTAGAAAATTTTCATTTTGGTCATGTGGCCTTTTCCCCTAGAAACGAAATGATTAGAATAAATTATTTGTTGATTTTGCATTTAAATAGTTCAATTCAAACATTGATATTATTGATGAGAATAAAATTGATTTCTTTAATTGTTAGTGGTTCGTTTATTTTGATTTGGACAAAGAATCATAGTAGTTAAATAATAAATCATTAACCAACGATTCTTTTTTTGAGAAGAGAGAAAGATGACTTCAAGAAAAATATATAATTTCTAGTCTTTCTCATGTATAAACACTTCGAGATGGTTGGTGATAGATATATGATCACTATGCTTGCTAGTGGACTAACCAACCTTTATCGGAGAAGATTTGGTCTTTCTCCTATAAATTTTGCCCTAAATTTTTAACTTTTTGACAAAATTTTAATAAAATTGAAATAACATAATTTCTCTAATCATATAATATAAAAAAGTATATTAAAAAAACAATTTATTTCCATAGCTATCATCCTTTTATTGTGTTCTTGCAAATAGATACAACAACTAGACAGAAATCGACTAAAACATATATAAATAAAGTGGAAGCAACTAACATCAGTTGCAGGATCAGTCATGAGATTTTCCTTAAGGCTCACTTTTATACGTATGAATAACAATTGGACTTCTTACCTTGTGAATGCCATCCGACCATGTCAACGCTGCCGATGCCAATGACGATTCAGCCGGAGCTTTTCCCTTAACAGTCACATTGTACGACTTCTTCTCCTTCAAAGACTTGAAGGATAGAACTTGAGGAATCACTTTGATGTCAAGTTTGGAGTTTGAAAAGATTGTTGCATTGTAAGTAGACGTGGCCACACCAACATTCGTGACTGTTCTTCGGAAATTGACTGTAAATGAAGCACCTGGTTTAACTTGAGCAGAAAGTGATGGATAATTGAAGTTTCTCGGCAGCGTTTTAGTCGAGTTTTTAGGGCAAGTGGTGTTCGTTCCTGATATCTTTGTAATATTATCTTCACTGTATCCAATACTACACAAGAACCTTATGTTGTCGCCTTGGACGTTGTCATATACAAGTCCAGGATTGATGGCTTGTACGGGGTTGACGTGTCCGGACCCGTAACCGAATTCCGCGTCTGGATTTTTTGACGGATCCATCGGGGATGCTATCGAAAATAAGGAAAAGAAAGCAATGGTAAGATAAAAAAAAAACATGCTAATAAAATTAGTTGAGACTTGTTGCATCGAAAGGTTACCGCCTTACCGGTAGTGATGAGAGCAGATTTGATGGCTGAGGGAGACCAATCAGGGTGAAATGTTTTAACATATGCAGCCACAGCAGCAACATGAGGGCAAGCCATAGAGGTTCCTGATAGTATGCTGTATTTAACACGCCTTTCATCTGTTGCAGTTGATGAAGGTGGAGCATCTAGTGAAAATGCAGCCAAGATATCCACTCCTGGTGCACTTATATCAGGCTGCATCGAATTTACAGAATAGAAGCTATAAAAAAAAGTGAATTCGCCTAGTGATAATGGGGGTTTATAGGAGAAATGCATGCCTTTAGAATGTCTGGTACAATGAAATTAGGCCCCTTTGAAGAGAATGAAGCAACTACAGGAGCTGAAGAATCTTTAATTGTTTCACTTTTCCATATTTCTGCTACAGGTTTTCTGTGTCACACAGAGGAAAGGAAAAGTTTCCATTTTGCCTAACGTATTACTTTAAAGGGAAATTCACATACTCGGTGGAATTCAGGTAGGCCTTGAGTGATTCGAAGTTGTCAGTGTTTAAAGCTGAAGCAGGCAATGGGACAACAAGTGAAATATTTTCTGATAATTGCAAAATCGATCCAAATGCACCAGAATCATGAGCTTCATCTATGCCGTCCATCAGTTCGCATACGACGATCTTATTCTTTACCAAAGTTCTATTCAAGCAACCAGTAAAGCACTCCCTGGAAAAAACACCACCAAATATCAAACATTTTGCTTATGCTAAATCGTTTTAAATGAAAATGCAGCTTGTCAATGGAACCAACCGAGCACCGTTCTCATCGCAAGTAGTTGTTGCCGGCTTGCCAAAAATCAGGGGAATCTTTTTTCTATTAAGACTGAAAGAGTTCACTGAAAATCCCTGCTTGCAAACAGGAAACCATTACTATCAAGTTAAAAAAAAACTATGATATTAATAAATATGGAAGAGCGTGGTTCTTACGGTTAGTGTCTTCCCATTCCCAAGGACAACTTTGTCGATGAAAAGGCGATCTGTTGTGCTTGCAGCAACAGAAAGCATCCATGGCGCTACACCCTCCGCCAATTCTGCTTCACCAGAATTGCCTGCAGCTTGTATGACAAGAATTCCTTTCTCAGCTGCATGAAATGCACCAATGGCTATGGGGTCAAGGTAAAAATCAGATGAAGCTCCTGCTCCTAATGAAATTGTTAAAAGATCAACTCCATCAGCAATAGCATCATCAAAGGCTGCCAAGATATCTGCTGCAGAACACCCTGCATCGTCGCATACTTTATATGCAGCTATCCTTGCTGATGGAACCCCTCCTCTTGCAGTGCCTTCAGCAAGTCCATAGAAACTAGCATTGACAACCATGTTCCCGGCTGCCGTGGATGCTGTATGAGTCCCATGACCCCTCGTATCCCTTGCGGAATCTGAGATGTAAACTCGAGCTCCAATAAGCTTACTGTAAGAAAAGTACTGATTTTCATTAGTAAACTATAGTAGGGATTTGAATAGCTGTAAGAGATTGCAAATAACAAAATATGTTTACTTGTTACAAGTGAAGTTAAATCCACCCTTACAAGACCCCTTCCACTTTTTGGGAGGAGGACCAAAGCCATCATCACTGAAGCTATCCGACTCGGGCCAGATTCCAGTATCAATGACACCAATAATGACATTGCTCTCACCAGTAACATTGCGTTTAACAGTTTGATTGAACCCCATGAAATCCCATGACCTTGTTGTTTGAACGTGATAAACTTTATTCGGAAAAACCGAAACCACTCCATTAAAGCCTGCATGCAATTGAAGTGATAAAAATGTATTGTCATTGCAATACATTTGACTGAAGAAAAAAAAGAACTTTTGTACCACTTACTTGCAAGTTCCTTTGCCTCCTCATCAGTGAGCTTAGCAGCAAATCCATTGAAGCTCTTTCTGTAACTTCTGATTAAGTAATTTTCCAGAGAGCTGAAGAAAAGGCAAAACATCATCATCAACAACAACAATTTGAAAAAGATAATTGATTCATTTGTTCAAAATCCTTAAACTCAACCTCTTTTTAAGAACTGCTTGAAGCATACTATAATGATGGGATGATGGACTGTAGTCTCCATCAGGAACTGATCCCATGTACGCAATGTAAACCTGCATCATCACACATTATAATTTATGCACCAGTCTCATTAAAACTTTGTTAATAATCTTTCATTTAAATAATAAGTAAGAAATTCCCTTGGAAGACAAAAGAAAAAGAAAAAACTTGCCTTCCTATCTTCCTCTACGGTACCAGAAGAAAGGCTCATGCAAAGCATGAGAATGACAGAAATGTGAAGAAGCAATAAAAAACTTGATTTTCTCATATTGTTTATCTTTCTCTTCGTTTGATCATGAATAAAACAGAAATCATAACTGGTATTTTATAGTAGATTAAAAAATATAGAATCTAACCTATTTACTGGAGTGTTTAATATTTTCCTTTGAATGGTCACTGCAACCAAGGAATATCAGTCAAATTTATTCACACCATAAATGATTGTGATTTATAACCATTCAAGTATATGTTATTCCTGATATTTTGGAGCCGGACAGATTATGTTCGTAACTTTTCAGAATAAGGAATCAATTTATAACTTGATGAAATCGGGTTTTAGTCTTCTGATTTTCACCATTGATTATGTTCACTATTTTAGAAGATCATATTGTGTATGCAGTATCCTGTAAGATTATGTTCATAACTTTTTCAGATATTGATTTCAATGCCATCCTTTGCAAAAAAAATACTATCATCTCATGCTCACACTAATGTTTTGATTTGAGATGCAATTCAGGATTTTCTTTGATATTATGAAATACACAGTTACACACACATATATATACACTTGCTTTAATTACAAAAACAAAAACATAGTACCGTTGACGAGGAAAATAATTTCTCATGTTTTTCCTTGTTTAACTAAAACTAGCTTTGTTTCCATAAGCTACAAATGAATGATAAAAAAATGCACAAAAGTCGTTTAGTCTCAATCTGATTAGTTGTACCCACAAATAAATGGTTAGAGTTTACCATCCGAATTTCATTTTAATCCGACTTGAAAAGTTCATGATATGACTCGTCGATGATCCCCATCAGGGGTGCGGAGGCAGAGTCCTGCATATGAACTTCACCATAAATTCAAACCATACAATATTATAAAAGGATTAGGATTATAGTTGGTGAATATGAGAATGTGTGAGGTCTTGTAATGCTAGACCTTTGTAATTTCAATATTGTAGAGAATTTCTTCTCTCAGTTCGTAATTTTTCCCTATAATATTTTTAACGTACATCTTGGTGTTCTTATTTTTGATTTTATTTATTTTACTCGTCGTTGTCTCCCACGTGTGAAGGACAGGTGCAAGAATTTATATTAGGAGACGAGCATATAACATTTTAAAGGAGGAAGACTTCTAATTTTTATTTTTTTTTACCATAATGACTCTTTTGCTGCAACCATAAAATTTTACCATAATGATTCTTTTGCTGCAACCATCCTATAGTTAATGCTTTCAAATTCTGACATCGATTCTGCCCATGTCCACTTTTCTTGCTTGATCTCAATTTTTTTACTCTCAAATTTATTTTTTACCTCTTTCGAATTATAAATTAAAGATCTCATTTTAATAAAATTTACAAGACCCTTAAAATCTTTGAGCCGCCTCAGATGGATGTATGATTACTGAACACAGTCGGAAACAACATTAGACTATTAATAAATCTAAGCCATTGCCATTGACATTGAAGAAACTTGGAGAAGAAATATCAGGCAAAGTGACAATACCATCACTTGTTTCATGTTTGGTCTCAGACGTTGCCTGCAGCTGGAACAAAGCAGGCCAAGTTTCAGGACTTTCTCTGATTTTTCTTTCAAGTAGTTACCTTGTAATCTATGATCACTCGCATTACAATAGAACCTCTTTTACTGCTCCTGCTCACCAATTTCTTACTAATTAGATAAGATAATGATGAAGAAATTGTAAATAGAAAAGTGTAATGTGCACACATATTTTATGTAAAACTTTAGACGAAAAGAAACTACAAGATATTGAAAAATTGTACAAAAGGGTTGTAACAATTCATTTACCATTGAGGTCGTTTGTTTCATGCATCATATATTTTTTAAATTAATTAAGATTCTTTGCCATCATTCATATATAGACCGTAATATCAATATCGCATGCTGTTTCTTCATTATTAAAAAATGATGTTGTTAGTCAAATGACCGCATTAATTAATTTTATGAGTTGGTTTAATTGATTGCAAAAAAATAATAGACACTTGGTTAATTTTTTCAGTAAATAAATGGGCTTTTTATACAGGCAAGTTATATTTAAATTAACTTATATTGTACTAAAGTTGTCAATAATAACGCCTTTCCGCACTAAACCAACCCTAATTAAAGTTTACCCGGGATTAGTTTAGATATTCTTTTTCTTGTGTTTTTAGTTACACGGTTAAGAATAAAAATGTCAAGTACAACTTATCTTATGGCGCAAGTCAAGCCCAATCGTAGTAAGATGTAGACTAACCTACCCAGCCGGCACAAGTGTTGGGACGTCATGAGCTTAGGTTACACTCACTAGATGTTTGTTTTTGGACTAAATTTTTCCAGTGTGAATGGTCCACTCAATGCCTTGCACTGCAAAACACAGTGCTAACATAGAAGTTAGATCAATAGGCATAGGCTACATGCACCACCTCAACACCCTCTTGTGCTTGTCCTAATCTTACATCACATCCTAATTTGTAATAACTTGTAAATGAGGATTGTGTTGCTGCGGATCCTTGCAGTGCACGATTCGTCGTCAAAATTTTGTTAGACGGGAGATGTTATAAATGCCAAGGCCTTTTGACCTTCAATCCAAGTCTTTTTGTTTCTAGGCTTAGGCGGCTCCGCGCTGGCACTCTGCTTCTGGTCGAGCGGGTTTATGCACATTTTAAATACCCCCACCAGAGGAGAACTTGCCTCGGATTCAGTCCATCTCTTCCTGTCAGGGGCCTTCGGTGTGGGGTTTCAATGGGTGTGGTGAGTGGCGGTTATGATCGTGTCGTGTCGTATTATGGGTACGTGGAGCACAAGAACATGATGGTGATGATGGAGAAGCGGCAGCTGTTCCTGAGGAGCTACCGGTTGTGCAGAAAGAGGAGGCTGAGGGAGAGGATCAAGACGTCATTGGTGGGGTTGAAGAGGGTCATGGTGTTTAGGCTGCGGTCTGCTCGTAAACTCACAAGGATGCTGTTGTCCAGGATCGGACTCGCCTTCTCGCGTCGTAGAAGGAGATACGTTCGTTTCAAGAGCAACCATTACAACAGCAGTTTTAACCCACGTTACCTGTGGTAGGCCATTGCCCATTGGCCAATGACAGAACATGATCACTTCCTCTGATCTCTCCCTCTGTAGTTTGTTTTCAATTTCAAATCTTATTATTGATTTGTAACTGTAGTTTGAATTAAAAAAAGTTCGTATTTGCTAATATTAAATGTGCTCTGCACTGCTCCTCTCTGTTTCATACAATGCCACTGGGGAATACCGTGTCGTGCTTGACCTTCAACTTAACCTTTTTAAGAAGCAGCTGATGTGAAATCAGATAAACAATGGCATTGGCACCATCATTTTCTCTTCTCCTTACTTCTCAACGCCAATGGATGGGTGATGCATCTGCCATTAACGCCCATTCCCCAATGGCTATGATGAGATCAAGCAAATCTGCACTTTATCGGCCGACTTACCTTTTTCATATATACATGTGAACATTGAAACGATTCTTTCTTTATTGAAGGGTAAATTACAAACTTTATCACTCAACTTTGATCTCATTTTTCTTTTAAAACTAAAATTTAAAAAAAATCAATTTAATCACTGAAATTTTTATTTACTCTTATTTTAATCACTAGAGCATTAAATATGAAATGGAAGGTTGATAAGACAGTCGCATGTTTTGATGTGGATTGACTTTTGTTTACATGACAGCCACATGTAATCCATGTCATTTTTTCTTTTATCTTTTTCTCTAAAGATGAATGTTTTACAATTTCATCTTGTGGACACCAATTTTCGTCCATATATAGCATTATATATATCATTTACTTAAAATAATACATTCTTTTTTTTCTTTTACATACCCAAGCCCACGATAAATACAAACCAGAAGCCCAACAATTGAGTCCAACAACCATAGGTCCGGGTCTTGGAGCAACCCGAATCGGCCCAAGCTTCCACCAATTTGGGTAGGGTTAAAACCCTAAATCTCATTTTGCTCTAACTGCCAAACGTCTCAATCGTTGGATCGAGATGTGATCCAACGGTCCACAGTGAAGTCAGCTAGGGTTTTCTTGTTTTCCCTTGAAGCGTCGCACGTTCTTGACAGGTTCAACCCCGCATGACTCTTGGAGAGCCCCTATTCCAGTGGCAACGTCCTCCAATTTGTACGGTGTTTGAAGACCACGTGAAGACCAAACCGAAAATGAAGCAAAGACTTTAGTTTACATAGGACTCTAATCCAACACTAAAAGTAGGATATGTTGTGATTATGAATAAGGATGTAAACGGGAAGAAAACACACGATTTTACATTCAAAATACACTAGAAATTACAAAAAAATATGGGAAAATACCCAAGAGATCGAAGCTTTTTTGTACGAATTCGAAGTGAAATAAAAGGAGAAAATTTTACCTTTATCGTTTTTATGCTTGCATGTGTGTGGCCTTATTTATCTTCCTCGTTTTGATTCGAGAAACCCCAAAAAAGGACACCAACTGATGAACATGGGGAGGGTTTCGAGATCTATTTTTTAGATATAGCCCTTCTCGAGGCTTATTATTGAAAAATATTTTGATTTTTGAGAAGAGGGGTAAAAAAGCTTTCAGGTTTTTTTTTAAAAAAAATTGCGTGCGGGTCACCTGTTTCTGGAAACCACGGTGATTGTTCTTCATTTTGAAGAACAAATGAGAGAATTTAAAGAGAAGGGGGCTTTGGTTTTGCAAAATGAAAAATGAATTGTTTGGGGCTAATTTTTGGGTTTTATATGTGACCCATGGACTGACCCACGACTCGAGCGGATCCCTAGGGGATCCACGTGTTTTTTAAAAAAAAATGGGATAATCCCTAT